TCTCAGGTGCAGCACTACTGTGCTGCTTCTTCTACAATAACCACCGCACCTCCATCTCCTTTCCTCTCACATTCTCTAAATGGTCTTTAACCAACATGGCTGGACTATTTTAATCTTGTCTAAAGCATACATGCTATTCAAAATCCTCCTCTGTTGTGGTGTGTGCCAATCCAAGAAAGCTGTAGTCCTCCTTTTTCACTCCAAAAACAAGTTCTACCACTTCCTGGTACCGTAGTCCATCTGCTGAGAACATCTGATCTGTTTAATCACAATCTTAAAGTTGGTCATCACAGGAGGTTTGTTTCATACTGATTCCCTCCTTCTAAATATATCCAGATTTGAATTATTTCTTTCTTTAGCCATAGCAGGTGATTTAGACAGTAGAGTATAAAACGTATTCACATTTTTAGCCAGACAGTTGTTGTAAACCTTTAGTTTACGGATACAAGATTTCCCACAATCTGCCCACAATTTCCTTTTTGTACTTTTTGTAAATATAAAGTAAGTATAGCAGTAATAAAGAGGAAATGGAGATTTTAGTCAGTTAGTAAACTTCTAATGAATGTTGCTTAATTGGTGAGGTGTATCCCAGAGAGCATATTAGTCAGTGAATCAGGTCAGCTGAACATGCAAAAATGTTGAATATCATAAATGAATAATTACAATTTCCCCTATGTTATGTGCCAGATTATATTTTTCCAGGAAGTTTATGGGAACTATCAGTAAATTATTAAATGATTAAAGTAGTAACGAGCTCTGATCAAAATGACACAGATGCCAAATGCACAACGGCATTAACACTGAAACACAGTATCTGGGGAAGTCTGACGCCTACAGAGACCCTTAGTGGGGAGTGAAGGGAAGTGTTTTGATGCTGAAGGTCAGTGTCAATTATTGGGAAAACAGCACCATCTTGTGGCCTCTTTGTGTTACTTTAGAAATCTAACTGATTTTCTTATATTTGATTGTCTTTCTAACTTTTTTGGTATTCATTATCATTCATTATTCATTATTTTGTGTTTGTCAAACTTTCTTTAATGACAAGAAATAGAAATTTCTTACAATTCTGCCAAAGGCCTCAAAATAAAAAAATAAAAGAAAGATCAAATAAAAAATTGTCTAAATATTATTGACTGTATTTAGGCTTATTTAAATAACTTTTGTAGGCCGACTTAAGGACTCTGTGGTTGCTATGCGTCAGGGACAAATGACGACAACTGACACACACTAGGACCAAAGCTGTTTCAGATTCATTAGTTTAAAATCCAGTTTGTTTTGCTATGTGTTTTACTGCTGAGACATTAAGGAACCCACTGATGCATCGACATTATACTTTGTTAAATAACATTTTCAGGTTTAACTAATCAAATCTGACAATTTGACAACATTTTAACTCTGTTGAGACAGAAAAGGACTGTGCAAATTTCACACAAGGAAACAAGGTTATTTAATTGTCATTTTACATCGCAGGGTTGTATAGTGAAATTTAGGTCATAGTTCCCTTTATGATACTCATAACAACAAAAATATATATAAAATAATATATTATGGATTAATAAGTAATAAAAATAACGAGAAAAAAAATCTATTCGAATAGGATTAATAAAATATATGAATAATAAACTGGACAATAATCATGAAACCTGTCAGATACGATGAGGTATGATGCATTCTTTAACACCGCAAAAAATCCATTCATTTCTAGACAATCTATACACCAGCTATATATATATATATATATATATATATACACTGCAATTTTCCCAGCTTGGGATAAAGTATATCTATCTATTGTGCATTTTACAGAATGATTTTTCTCATCAGAACATTTTAAACACACATGATGACTGAGGCAGGAGCCACTACAAAACATTCTGTCTATCATAGTGCTGTGGGCAGAGCATAATGTGAATGTGAAATTGTTTTTAAAGTAAACATGCTGCTTTTTAAGTCTGTGCAGTTTTCTGAACATACTGAATGCCTGTGCTTCTTGCTCTTTCTCGTAGCTTTCTTGGCACCAACGTCTATAAGCATTTAATGTGCTGTGCATTTGACGCAATTCTGCACAATGAATCTGTCTTCCAGTGGTGCATGACAGTATGCGTGTGGAAATAAATACATTTTAGTCCTGCCTATTAAAGGACCCGTGTGTAGGATTCAGTGGCATCAAGCGGTGAAGTTGCAGATTGCAAGCGTGAAGATCCTATCTAGAGACAGTGTTTGATTTGTCCATTCTGGGCTATTGTAGAAACACGGCAGTTCAACATGGTGGCCTCCGTAGAAGAAGACCTGCTCACTCTCGTTCTAAGGTGAGCTTCATGCTAGCTAGAGCTGAACCTTTTTGAGACAAGTGACTCCATTTGACACTAAATATGCTTTAGAATAAGCCCCCCAGTAGCTCACCTGGACCAGTTTACAGTAATGTAATATGATTGGCTGTTGAAGATGTTCTGTGGCATTACTTAGGATCCTGGATGTCCTCTGCACAAAGACATCATGGACCCTTGTAGTGATTGAAGTAGGAAGTTAAGGCTGTCCACACTGGATTTATCAACTTATACATACTTGTTTCAATCAGTGCATTCCAGCACTGCTGTTAAAGACACATTAGGTGCACAGGTTTATCTTTTCCCATGGTCTGCACTGAAGGAACTGTACTGGGCTGAGAGATTATAAACCTTTTCACTTTGAAACAGCAGATGGAGACACAAGCACAAAGTAGACATTTGCTCCCTGAAATGGAGCTGCTGATTTGAAGTAGCAAATACTGTACACAACCAGTAACTTTATTAATAGTTCATAAAGAATCTATTTATTATATTCTTATAAAATAAAAAACTCTAAATGTCATTATGTCCACCTCTATCCTAACTTCACCTTTTTATTTGGCGTTTTAATTAGAAAAGGAACCCTTTGACTTATCAATACTTAATAGAAGACTTGTTGGCTCAATATAAAGTGAGAAACCTATTAATGATTCATTACTTACATACAGTACATTTAAACCTTCAGACCATATGCCTTATCCAGGATTTATGTGTGTGTATAATTTATGTGGTCACTGAGAGACTACACGTCCACTGTAGTCCATAGATTGAGTGATTGGCTTTGGTTGGCTGGCAGCGGGTTCTCTGGCTTCCATTTGCTACTTTTAAACACTCAGATTTATCATGATATCGACCCGGGCTGTTAAATGTAGCATACAGTAAGTTGTTTTCGAGCCAGAGGTGTTGTGTGTTTGCTTTTCCACCAGTTTAAATAGCTCTGACGCTACAGCGATCCAAAGGTCAGCATACTAATAAATTGATCCCCCCCCAACCTCACTCCGCCCACCGCTCAGTTACATGCAGCACCATAAAGTGCTTCCTTCTTCGAGATATCGCAAAAGGTAAGACAATGTAGCCCAGAGCCTACGTGCAGAGGGAGACAATGTAGCCTACGTGCAGAAACTATCCGATCGTAACATCCGAGTGCGTCTGTGTTAGAGGAAATCAAGGTTGCGGACCGATAGCTGCTGTCCTCGGAGGTTGTTGTCAACGTCTGTGCAGATTCACTCTAAACAAGCCTGAAGTTTGGCTGCGATTGAAGGTTTGGTTGGATTAAGCATCTAAAATCTGTTCGCAACCGACTCGTAGCCACTTGTTTGTGTATGACACTGAGCCAACATTTAGAGAAAAGTCAACACCATCAGTTAAAACATAACTAGAGAGCGGACTACTGACCTTACCAGGATCTCCTTTTTTGTTGCATGCATCTGCTTATTTGTGTATAAAACATATTCTAGTTCACGCTAAAGTAGGGGAGGGGGAAGGGGGAAAACTCTTGGCCAACTTCCTGTTGTGTGCAGCAGCTCCATGGATGCATCTTCTTGTTTACACATTAAACATTTTTCAGACTAATGTGGTTCATCCTTCACAGAGCTGGATATGCTCTCTGGCAAGTGTTGGAGGAGGTAGTTCGGGTCTGGCACTGTATCAAGTGCTGTCTGGATGAGGGGCTGGAGGCTGTCTGCCTTCGAAAGCAGCGTGACATTTTGTGGCTGTGGAGGGTTTAAGGTTGGGTCTCTGTGTGAGGTTGGATTTTCTTTCACTCACAAAGTTTAGTAAAGTTAGGATGAACATGTTTCAGCTCCTGCAC